AAGGTCTCATGTATTATTTTTATGAATGACTTCAATTTCCTCTTGCATCGCCATCATCCATAGTGAAGCATCTGAGTTGTTTATTGTCTCCTGGTATGTTGATGGCTTATCGTCATCTGTTAAAAGGCAGTATGCAATATTACCTTCTATAACATAATCTGAGTGCCAATTGGTACGTCTTCTCACACGATCTGATTGACGAGTTGTTGGAGCTTCAGAACTCTCTAGTTCTTGTTTATCATGTGTTGGTTCTGCTTCAGAAGAATCTCCTTGATCAAACTCCTTTTCCACATGTATATGTGTAGTCTCCGAGTTTTCAGTGCTACCATCTTTTTCTTTTCTTTGTAGCTTATCTTCTTCAAAGATAACATCCCTGCTGATGATCTAACAAGGTTCTGTTCATCCGCTATGCCACTCCATTTTGTTGAGGAGTGTTCGCCACTGTGAACTGTCTTTTGATGCATTCTTTCGTGCAAAAGTCATTAAATTCTTTGCTTGTGTATTCTCCTCCATTATCTGTTCTGAAACACTTGATCATATTTCCAGAATAAAGTTTCACCTGCGCTTTGAAGTTTTTGAAAGTGGAAAACACATCTGACTTCTTCTTAATAGAGTACACCCAATATCTCCTGGAGTAGTCATCAATAAATGAGACAAGATATTTTACTCCGTCTAGGGATGTAACTGGTGCTTGCCATACGTCAGAATGAACCAATTCTAGAACACTTTTGCCTTTAAAATTTGACATGTTGAATTTCAACCGGTGCTGCTTACTTGTTATGCAGTGCTCACACAAAGTAAGTGATACATTTGTTAAGCCTAGAAGTAGCTTTTGCTCCACAATGACTTTCATTTCTTGTTCTGACATGTGTCCATGTTTCTGATGCCATAACATTGCAGAATCTGAACTACATAAGGCAACATAGGCTTATGCTTCTAGAAAAGTCTCTCCCTTCAGTATGTACAAGTTTGTTGCTATCTTTTCTCCTTTCAGCACCGCAAGCGCTCCACGAAACACCTTCATGATTCCTTTTCGTATTTCAATCTTGCTTGCATTATTATCCAACAATTCGTAGGATAATAAAATTTTCTTTAGGCCATTCACGTGTCACACATCTCGAACAACTTTAATTGTTCCATCATACATCTTCAATTTGATGGTTCCCACGCCAATGATCTCTAAGGCATGATCATTGCAACTATACACAGATCATCCTGAGACAGATTCATAATGATTGAATCATTCTCTTCTTGAGGTCATGTGATATGTTACTCCTGAATCAATGAGCCATATATCTGCAAATCTTTTTCTACCTTCCACAGTGGTTGACGCTTCACAACATAGAGCATCTCCATCATCTGAAGTGTTTGCGGTATTTCCTTGTGGATTGGAGTTTTTATTTAGACTCCAACAATCCTTCTTCAAGTGACCCTTCTTTCCACAGTTGTAGCACTTTAAATTCTTTTTTCTTCTCGACTTCGATTTACCATTTTTTACTACTACTTTGGCCACGTTCTGTTGATATCCCTCTCATCGTAGTCAACGCTTCTGCTTGTTGTAGATTTACTTGTCTGTCTTCCTTGTTCTTGCGCCGATTTTCTTCTTGTAGAACATCAGTTGCAATGTCATCGAAGACTAGACTGGTGACATTACTGTTTGTCAAGTTGATGATGGGTTGATCATACGAATCAGGTAGATTTTGAAGTATAAGTTCAGTCCGTTCTTGTTCTCCTATTGTACATCTTAAGGATGTAAGCTGAGAAAATAAAGTGTTCAGTGTGTTTAAGTGCTCTGTCACTGAAGTAGATTCTGGCATACGGAGAGTGTACAATTTCCTCTTAAGGAAAATTTTATTGTGCAGCGATGTGGCCTCGTACAATTTGGTGAGATGATCTCACATCTCCTTAGCTGTCTTCTTCTCCTCGATGCTTGAAAATACTTCATCTGCTAATGCTAGATGAAAGTTTGCTATAGCATTTCCATCTATTTCGATCCATTTGTTGTCAATCTATTGGCCTTTCACTGATAGCTGTTAGGCAACCGTCTTTCCTCAGGATGACATTCGTCTTCAATTTCCACAGTGAGAAATTTCTCCCATTGAACTTTTCAATATCAAATTTTGTTGCCATAGTTTCTATTACAGATAGCTCCCACTATTTCACTATCGTGAATAGTTCTCTAGAACCTTCAAAGAATGGGTAATACCTTCTTACTTTCTTATGTTGGAGGATTCACCTTTTGGTGGCAACCACAAAGATAATAAGCAGATATTACACACTCAAATCTGGCTCGGATACTAATTGTTGCGAAAGACGGCTATCGGATAGAGCAAAAACTCAACTGATAATTTGAGAAAATAAAAATGAATATATAAGAGACACAAAATTTACGTGAAAAACCCCTAAATAATATAGGGTAAAAACCACGGGCAACGGTAGAAGAATTTCACTATGAGAAAATATGAATTACAACTTCTCTCGATCTAACAAGAAGAAAACAATGATAATTCTCTCGTGATAAAAAAAGAAAACAACTCTCAAGAAACTCTCTAAATTCTCTAGTATTGGGAGAAAGCTAGAATGATTTGGGATGGTTTTGAAGCTAAATGAGCTAGGGTATTTATAGTTAAAGCTTAAGGACTAATTTATAAATATCCTAAAGTTTAGTGACTAAAGTGTGTAAATATACCATCCATTTTCAACAAAAAAACAAATCACCTCTCGGTTCATTAATTGTATGCACCTTTCGGTGCTTTAGTCAACAATAATAACGATCAATCCCTCCGTCACCTCCTAGACATAAATTTTATCATGCCTTTGTTACTAACAAGACCGTAGTCTTACAATACTCATAAGCGTTGTGAACTCTGTGAAGTACCAATTATATCCCGAACTTGACAAGGTAACTATGAGCAGAATAAACATACTAATTAATACAAATTGATAACAAAAATAGATAAAATGAAAAATACTAAATAACATCTTTCCACCAGCGGGGTTGGTTCAAGTAATAAGCAGCTTGATATCGCTTTAGCAAGATCTCAGGTTCGAGTCCTTGTATATGCAGAAAATACCCACTAGGAGACTCACCCACCAAAGCCAGGTGTGCGACCCGGGTCGATCCAGATTAGTCAGGACGAAGCCTTGAAACTGGAAGGCAACAAAAAAAACATATTTCCCTTTAAAATCAACAGCTGCAATTACTAATTAATACAAATTGAATTATGCGCAAACAATAAATTAATTTGTTTTATAATATTCTTATTAAAAAACCAAGGAAACTAGTAACTAAATCAGCCTAATCTCAAGCTGTAATCTCCATGACTCTCCTCGTGAAAAAATGTTGAAACAAATGATAATCAAAAGGAAGAGTCAAAGGCAAGTTTTGTCAAACCATCAATCAACTTGTTTCTTCCCCTATAAACATGAAAAATGTAGTTCCCAGACTCAACGATATGTGGTAAAATGAACGATCCAAGAGACATAGTAGTTGTTTATTCTAGCAACAACAATACCTCCTCATTATCCATTTCGAGACATAGTAGTTAGACCATCCGACAATTTTCTTGTCTCATCCCTGTTAACTTTATCCCATCTACGGATCATGTTATCAGGACGAAGTCATGATATTAACTTAAAGGAATAAAGTGTAATTAACAATAGAAATAAGAGATAAAATAAAAATAAATTAAAATTTAAAGGTTTAAGTAGCTATTTACCATATATTTTTTCAATTTATAAAATATTTGAGAGGCAGTAACCTCAGGATGAAACATAACTTCGTCCCTATATATTATCATCTAAACATGTTAATGTCTAATAGAATGCTGTCAATAGTTTATACTCATTTTTTTTAATTTGGATTCGAATTTTATATCATGACAAATTTATTTAATGTTTATATGTTGATTAAACTTTTCCTTATATTAATACTCATATAATCAAACGTTACAATAAATGTTTTTTCTATATTTTTAAAATTTTATCAAATTTTTTTCCTTTCAAAATGGTGAATATCACATGTTTAAAGAAAGAGGTGTCGGTAGAAGTGAGAGTTCCGTAAGGACCATATTCTTTTCGGGTTCCAAACACGGGTCATTTGATATTGATATATTAACGGAATAGCCTCCCAAATTTCACTTTTTCAACTTCCAATTAGAAAAAGGAAAATTTTAATACATATTTTTTCAATTAATGAAGAATCCAACCATACCCTTCTTTGGTTTGATTTGGTGATTTTATTGGGTTAAATTTTCCCTTTTTTTGCTTTAACTTAATATATATATATATATATATATATATGCACTGCACGAACCAAATGATTTATGTGATAAATAAATTATTTATTATTTCTTGAAGACTCGGTTTCGAGCATCATGAATGCTAGGGGTATGAACATTTACTGTCAAAAGGTTGAGAGTTATTTTTGAACATAAATTATCTTGTATTAATCTCAGATTAATCATATATATATATATATATATATATATATACTAACAATTAGTTTTTATACATTAACAATATATATTTACCCACACTAATCTTACTCGTAAAATTTAGAATGTTGAAATTTGTGAGTTCTTGAATTTATAAAAACTTCGTTAAGAAAGTTAAAAATTAAAAATTTTAGTTTTTTTTTCGTAACAATGTTAGCATAATATTGATTCAATTTGTATCTTTTATTAATATTTTGATTAGAGTTACCTCATATAACATGACATTGTTTATTCGATAATAATGAGAGTAGCATAACAAACAAGTCATGGTGACAAATTTTGAGAAAACACTTAAAACACTTGAACTGTGTTCCTTAAATGAAAAATATTGGAGGATTTAATTTGTAACATTCTAATTACAAGGACTAAATTCCAAACATCACCAAAAATACAAGGATTGCTTAAAAATTTGACCAGTTTAGAAACGAGATAATTTTCTTAGGTGTGCTAAGATATATACTTATTCTTATCTCACATTCTCACTCAAACTCCTTTGTTCACTTTCCTTGTATCTTTTATCTTTCACTCTTTGCATTCTCCCTTTCTTTTTCCTTCTTCAAGGTAATGCTAAAAGACTCCTCCTCCTCCTCCACTGCTGCCGCTGTCTCTTCCTGTATTTCTACTTGTATTGTTTTTTCTATATGACTGCTATATACTCATTTTTAAAAATATTTTCTTTATGAACGACGACATATACAAAATACGAACATGTTTGTAAAATTAAAAACATGAATTTGTTCAGGATTTTGTAGGGTTTTTTTTAATGATGTTTGATGTTTGCATGATTCTAGCAGGGAGAAGAGAACCCCAAAAATGGCAGACTGCAAAAACGCCCAGCAGAATGAGGTACGAATTACAATGCAAATTTTACTTTTTTTACTTGAAAATTTTAAACATTTACTTGTGTTAATATCAATCTTAGATAATGATTGGTTAAAGAGTAAACGGTTCTGATCTTTTTCTATTAGGTCCCACGTTTGAGTCTCACATCGGAATGGTTGTAGTCTAACATAATTTCTCCAACTCTACCCTCGTTTTATTTGTTGAAATTATAATTGTTATTTAATTTTCGAGATTCCCCCCCCACCCTCCCTTATTTTTAGCTACCATAGTTATTTATTTATTTAATTTAATTTAATTAATTCCAGGGAAGATTTTTTATTGTCTCTTTTTGCTTGATTTATGGTGCTAAATCTCTAAGATAATAGCTACGTTGTGTCCCCTATATCAACGGCTGTGACGATGACACGTCAAGTTGTGTACGTTTGTGTACGTACAACACTGCTACATTTTGTTTCTCACTTCTAGTATGTATATAAATGGTTGAAATTAATTTTTTTTAATAAATATGTTATCATTTTTTTCTATTAATTTTAATTATCTATTTTCAATCTAATTATCTTAAATTTATGTAAAAATGATTATTAGAAACTTGATTTAAATTTATACAGGAAACATCAAAGGCCAAATACGGAGGATTGGTGCCAAAGAAGAAACCCTTAATCTCAAAGGTAAATATTTAAAAAGAAGGTTAATTTGTGATATTGGTCACTCTAATTTACATAAATTTAGAATTTAGTCCCTATGACTTGATTTGATATAATTTTATCCTTTACTTTTATAATGCCATCAGTTAGTTTAAAGGATTAGCACCCTAAACCATTTCAATGAATTTTCTTAAAAACACCCTTTTCAACTTAAAGAAATCCATGTTAGTAATACTTTAAGTAGTGCCGTTATAAAAAGAGTGGCCAAATTTATGCATAGTAGTAGAAGGATCAAAATCAAAATTTAAAAGAAAAAAATATTAATTTTGAAGTTGTTTAAATAATTTTAGAATAAAGCAAATTGAGTTATATTTTTGATGTAATGAGCTAACAAAACATGAATATGTAGGACCATGAACGTGCTTTCTTTGATTCAGCAGATTGGGCATTATGTAAGGTAACATTTGTCAATTTTTTGAGTATTAGATTTAGAGGCAAAGACAAAATTTGATTAATGTCCCAAAAGTTGACAGTTGGAGTCCATTTCTCTTATATTTTGTCGGTTAGGGCCTTAGAAAAGGTTGGGTCCCAAGCTGAACTGGAAACCAGTGGCTCAATTATACACACAGCGTTAAATCTTGAAATCAGTTTTATTTTGAAAGTAGTTAATTATGAAATGAATTCAGTAGTGAAGAAGATATAGTTTTCTCTAAAGATTTTATATTTGAGCAGTTGCAATATGTGTGGATTGTCAATGGTATATCATTTTAAATTATTAAAAAAATGAATTGTGCATATCAAAATAGTTTTTATATTGAAGCTATTTAATAGAATTGGTATAAACAATATAGTTTTTATAATAACAAAATTGTATGCTATAATTTAATAAAACTAAAAGATTGTTATTTACATAAAAATTGATATTAAAATTACTTTTTCGAAATTTCCAGTAACTAATTTTGTTGTTGTTTGAATATGGAACAGCAAGGTGCAGCAGTAAATGAGAAGTCAAGTGTGGCAATCGAGAGTCTAAGACCGAAACTCAAGGTATATGGTATCATGTATATTATTCTGCGTTAACCAAAATTACTAATCTTTCAATGATATCAGAGAACACCACATCAACAGTTACCTCCGAGGAGACCTGCTTGTACATCCGGTGGAGATAATAACACGGTGAGTCATTAAAACATTTTAACCCTACATCCAGCAATGGACCTAGGTGGGAACGGGGCGGTCGCCCCCTAAAAATCTGAAATTACGATATATTCTAAATTTTATCTATGTATTTTCTATTGAAAATTTGTTCTTGTCCCCTTGAATTTTATGAGTTCCACGCTCCTGAAATTTTATAAGTTCAAGTTCTTCACCTAACATAAAATCTTATATCTGTCTCTGCCTAAACCCTAATCTCTACTATAACATCTGATTTCAAATTCTTCCTTGCATGTTGCAGGCTCCTAAACTGGTGTGAGAAGTTGATGAAATTGGGGCTTGTATTAATTACTACTACTTCTATTATTATAAAATAGTCTGGTTTGTTGATTTCTGTAATAAGCTCATCTTGTATACATTCTTGCAATGTGTTTATCTCCTCTTGGTCTAGTTGATATATGAATTGTACTCAAATCTCGGTATACAAGTAAATAATCAAATACGTGCCCACAGGCTTATTAACCGGAAGCATCAATGATTCATTTAGATCAAATTATTTTAAATAAAATTTAGATATCAAGTTCTTATTGTTGTTAAATGGAATTCAGATGTAATCATTTGAAGGCAAGTTTCTTACATTTGTTTTATTTTAATATTATAGATGCAACAGTGGATTATTAGTAACAATACAACATTTTTTTAATAATATGAGCCAAATAAAATTTCAAGGTGAACTACATCAATAAAATAAATAACTATTAGAAAAAAATACAAATTTTAAGTGAACACGTACTCACTCTTAAGAAGCTATGAATCCGACGGTATAAAGATGATACAAGCTACAACTCAAACTTTTCCACTGTAATGAAAATAAATATGATCAGAGTAACATATCACACCACTCTTAGATGCATGAGGGATCATATATCTTAATTGCAGATATTAGGGTTAGCAAAAAGCATATATTTAAAATAGCGGTCTGCTATTGTAATAGCGCTCTTTATATAGTGGTAGAGATGTTATTCGTAACCATTATTGTATGATCACGATACTTGTAATCATCAAAATAATGTTTGTTATATCTATAATCGCGATAAACGTAATGTAACCAAAAGCACGGTTCCAACTGCGATTTAAATTTCTAGCCAAGAGATAAGCTTCAACACCCTTGCAAAGTACCCCGGTGCACTGGATGAAACACTTAAGTTCTTCGGTGTATCACCGATAGTATAATTAGTTGACCCTTATTCTCATATGTAATGGGATAAGGTGGAGGTAAGATAGTAGACTACCCCCAACACCATATTGAGAGTAGTTTCCGTAGAAGACCTCCAAATTATGAAATGCCCTCCGTAGGACTCGATCTCACGACCCCAAGATTAAGAACCTTATGCTCTACCAACTGAACTAGATGGTCATTTCAAAATCACCGATAGTATAAAACTTCATTATCGTAGCTGATTTTCTCCAGCTTCACCCCCGAAGGCCCACCTTCCATCACACTGTAACTGTATCACAAATTGGCGATAAATTAAAATAAAAATGCTAATGATGAAAAAATTAAAAAAATCAACTAATTATAATCACAAATTAAAAAGTTAATATAAATCTTATTTAAAAACTTGTTTAAAAATAAGAAAGATATCCTTTTGTTGGAATGATTTAAGGAATTGCACTTCAACAATTTATGACACTATTTCACGGATCACCTTTAAAATTATTTAATCTACATAAAAATATTTAGAATGTAGAAAACTATGTAAATATTTAAAATAAAATAAAAAATTATAAAATTTCCACATATATTATAAAATACTAAAGGAATACTTTTTTTTTGTTTAAGCTAAGGTTATTACAAATTAGTATTTGTTCTAAGTACTCTCAATCATTTGATAATAAACGTTCAATTACCCTTCAATAGTTGTTGATGCTCGAATCCGTGACTTTTAAAAACAACAACAATTTCTTTAATCACTAAAGTAATTTGATTTGTACAATATTAAAGGAATACTTATCTATTCACTAAATACATATTATAAATAAAAACTATAAAAGATATATAATGAAATTTACAAAAATATATTTATATACCAAATAATATAGAATAATAATTTTAAAAGTATAAGGTTAAATACTATTCAGTATAAAAACTATATATCATATGTATATACTATATTAAATAAGCTAATATATATTAAATAAGAATTAGAAAACATATACCATATTTAAAATGTGGAATCATATAAGGAATATATACAAGAAATGTATATAGAATAATATATTATAAAATGGATGCCAATGAAATATAAGGATTAAATTAGAAAACGAAAATTAAAAGGAAATAAATTAAACAACATAAAGTAAATAAAGGGTCAAATTAATATAAAGATAAAATTAAAGGAAATAATTAAATAAATGAAGAAATAAAAGTTCAAATTAATCAATGTGAAAAGTAAATGTGAGATTAAATTCTGAACAAAATAAATTAAAGTGTAGAAAATGAATAAAATGTAAATAAAATGGGAAATTATAATATTAGAAAAAGACGGAGGTACTGCCATCACAATTTACCCAAAGGGACTTTAAAAGCGTGGATCCTCTCTTTGGATCCGGGTCACTGCGCGGGTTTCCTCTAAGGGTCCGTTTGGTTCACGGAATGTAAGATTATCAGTAGAAATAAAATATTACCAGAGAATAGAATTACTGGAAATGTTGTACTTTGTGTTTGGTTGGTTTAGCAGGAATGTAAGATTACCGTGTTTGGTTAATGGAATAAAAGATTATTCGAATGTATATTTGATCAAATTGTCCTTATTATATATTTGTATAATATTACAAATTGTAAAATATTTATATATTTTCTTTAAAAAAATTAAATTCATAATATTTATATAATTTTTTTTACAAAATTAAAAATATAAAAAAAGTTTAATGAAAGGGTAAAATTTTTTTTAACCCCTGAACTTCATATAAAATTTTAATTATAGATTTTTTTTTGTAAATCTAAAATAATTTAAGGATAAATTTGTAATTTAACCTTCGTAGAATTTTTATTATTCAATGACAGAAGAATGATATTTTTGAAAAAGAATAAAAATTTAAGGGCATTTTACTCCAAAACGCCGGTAATATTACAATACCTAAGGGGAGGTAATGACATTCCCGGTAATATACCCCAAAAAATCTACTATTGGTAATAAAACATTACCGGGAATGAAATTCCCGGCCAACCAAATATGGAAATGTGGGATTCACATCCCATGGGAATCCCACAATCCTTGAACCAAACACCCCCTAACGGTACTAGGGTTATCTGATTTACAAGTATAATAATAGCCAAATAATTTTTGATTTTGGGTTAATTATTTCATTCATGCATAAACTATACCAAATTTTCAGTTTGAAATATAATGTTTTAAATTTTTTAATTCCATACATGATATTAACAGTCGTTAACGGATTTACTCATTTCTATCATGAAAAATGGTGTGAAACTCTGTGACAAGATGACATGTGACACATTAAAAAATATTTTTAAATTCTCCTTATTTTTTAAAATAAATTTTTAAAATTTTCCCCCAGAACTTCAACACTCCATTTAACTCCTTTTCGATTCACTCTCTCCAAGAACTGCCATGAATCCTTCGCAGTACCCCCGATTTTTTGCATAACTGTTATCATTGTTGAGCAAGTAACATGATCCGGTTCGACATTGTTCGCTTCCATGGCGGCATACACTTCCCGAGCATCATAATACCTGTACAAGTTGTAACGATATATAAGAACATATAGCAAAGAACTGTCATCACCATGGAATTGAAATTCATATAAAGCTCCCAAAATTTTTACCCTTTCTAGCTTTAAAAGCCCAGAAATGACACTGTTTTAAACATGAACATCTCTGAAACCGTTACTCTGCAGCAAATTTCTAAACAAAACCATCAATTTATCACCCATTTCTGACTCCCAACATCGGGAAGATGATCAAATTGTTGGATTAAAATTCATAATTAAGGTAAAATCTATAATTAAGGGCACATATTTATAATAAATTGATCATAAAACATTACATAAATTAAGTGACTTATGTTATAAAGTCAATAAGATATTAGAAGTGTCACGGAAATAAAAGTGTAAATATCATTAAAGTTATATTTATTATTTGATGAGAGGTAGAGTTATAAGTACAAATAATAATTAATTCTTAGATCAATTATATAATGGGATTATGGTCCCAAAAAATAGATAATCTCATATTTTCTCTTTATCTCCGTTAGAAAATTTATACTCAAAAGAATTTTATCTTATTGAAATATCACAACCAAAGATATACTCAGATTTTAACATGTCAATTAATTCAGGTACGCTTCTATGTCTAGTATTTTTCACTTAGTTTCCCTTGATAAACTCCCAATAACTCACTAGTGTCAAATTCTTCGACAAGTTTTCACAATGAATATAATTTCTATCACAATGTCGTCAGACCGATAGTTTCGTTGAGTCTTCACGCGTAAAACTTGCTTGTTGTTTTGTCTCGTAGAGTATCTTTTTCAACAGGCTCAGATTCAGAATAGGATTTCGGATCCAGTAAGGACCGAATATCCGATGCTTTTTTGCAAGAAGAACTACAGTTCTTTTGGAGGGAGAATTTTCCTTAACGAGGTTGGTCGAGAATTGAGGGACATGAGTTGAAGAATCTAATAATCGAGTATGTTATATCCTCTTCATCTTTTTTGTCAATTTCAAGTTTGAGCTCTTATTCTTCAGGTTCCTGAAGAAAAAGGAGGAAAATATGGGAGAAAAAGTGAGGAGGAAGCGTTGTAAAAACGTTGAAGGAACTAGAGGTTGGTAGAATGAAAAAAATTAAAAAAAATATTTTTTAAAAGTGTACGTGTCATTTTATTAGTGGTCATGGCGCTTCACGTCACTTTTCGTGACAGAAGTGGGTGAACCCGTTAAGGGTAAAAACCACCATGTATAAAATCGAGAATTTTAAAGCATTATGAATGAAATTGATGTAAGAATGGAGTAATTAACCCTTTAACTTTCATTTATGTCTTGTCTCTGACAAAATTAGGGAAACAATACTGGTAAGAATTTTAAAAAAATAGGGGTGGTTGAGAATTATTTTGGGATCTAGGTCATTTGTACATTGTATGTGAAACTCGTCACGAAGACGTGACTAGTTCCATAAAATATATTAAAAAATTAAAACTTATCATGAGAGTGTGACGAGTTCCATGCAATTTTATTCCATATTATATGACGAATTATAATTTTTTTAATATATTTTATAAAACTCATCAAGTGAACGTGACGAATTTCACAAGCACTATAGTAAATGATCTAGATCCCAAAAGAAATTTGAAGCTACCTTAATTTGTTAATTAATTATTTTGCCTTAATTATTCACTTAATTTTATCATTGTCTCCTTTAAAA